GGTTAGAGGTCACCTAGAGCCCTGTATCCGCCACCCACCATGGGTTAAAGGGCGTTAGAGCCCACCCAGACCCTTGGGTCCACCGCCCACCATGGGTTAATGGGGGTTAAAGCCCACCCAGATGCTTGGGTGCCCTCCCTGGGGTGGTGGAGGGGGATTAGAGCCCACCCAGACCCCTAGATCCACCACCCACCATGGATTAATGGTAGCTAGAGCCCACCCAGACCCTTGGGTCCACCACCCACCATGGGTTACTGGGGGTTAGAGCCCACCTAGACCCCTGGGTGCACCACCCACCACGGGTTAATGGGGGTGAGAGCCCACCCAGACCTTGGGCCCACCACCCACAGCGGATCATGGGGTGTTAGAGCCCACCCAGATGTCTGGGTCCTGCGGTTGGGACTGAGGAGGAAGAGGAGCAGGAGGAAGAGGAGGTGGAGGAGGCCACAGGGGGCCAAAGGTGGGGGTGATAGTGGTGGAGGAGGAAGAAGAGGAGGAAGAGGAGGAGAGCGAGAAAGAAAATAGGTGGGAAAATAATGGAGAAAGAAGAAGATGAAGAAGACAGTGACACCAAGGAACAGCAGGAAAAGGAAGAGCAAATCGATGAAGATGAAGAAAGAGGAAGAAAAGGGGAAGGAGGAAGAGGAGGGAGAAGAAAAGGACCAAGATGATGAGGAAGAAGAGAAACTGGTGGGTGAAGAAGAGGGGAGGAACGTTGACGGTAACAAGAACAAGAGAAAGACGTCTGAGAAAAGTGATGATGAAGATGAAGCTGTCAAGAAAGAAACTGATGGTGAGGAGGAAGCTGAAGACGATGATGACAAAGGAAGAAGGGCGGTGAGGATGATGAGGATGACAGCGATGAGGAAGAGTTTGAGGAAAAGGATGGTGACGTAGAGGGTGAGGTTGAGGAGGAAGAACGAGACAAAGAGGTGGAGAAGGTGGAAAAGGATGTGAGGAGGGTGATGAAGATGACGGTAATGATGATGACGGTGCTAAAAACGAGGAAGAAAACACACGCAGATAAAAAGGATGATGAAGATGATGGTGATGAGAAAGTTGAGGAGAGGTGATGATGAAGAGCATGAGCTTTTGGAAGAGAACGAAAAAGACGAGGTTGAAACGGGGAAGGATGATGATGAAGAAGATGAAGGTGGCAATGATGAAGATGGTGAGGGTGATGAAGATGATGGTGAGGATGGTGAGGACAATGAGGATGAAGAAGATCTGGGGGTGATTCATTTGCAGTGAGGGTTCCTTGCCCGGCTGGTACTGGGGCAGGGTCTCCAGGCAGAAGAAAGAGGAGGAAGATGAGGAGGAAGAGGATGATGAGATTGACAAAAGGCTGAAAAACGGGAAGAAAAAGAGGAAGATGAGGGTGAGGAAGACGAGGAAGACAGGGAGGATCAGGGTCTTCAGGCAGGAGGAGGATGGGGATGGGGATGGTGAGGATGAAGAGGGGGAGGACGGTGAGAATGATGAAGTTGTGGATGATGAGGATGAGACTGAAGGTGATGAGAATGATGAGGGTGGTGAGGAAGAGGAAGAGGATGAGAGTGGTGAGGATGAGGATCGTGAAGATGAGAATGAGGAGGGTGAGGATGAGGATCATGAGGATGAGGAGTGAGGCTGAGGAGGGTGAGGCTGAGGATCATGAGGGTGAAGATGGTGAGGGTGAAGATCATGAAACTGAGGCTACTGAGGACGGTGAGGACGAAGATGATGAGGATGAGGATGAAAAAGGTGAGGTTCATAGGGACGAGGATGAGGAGGGTGAGGCTGAAGCTACTGAGAATGGTGAGGATGATGAGGTTCATAAGGAGGAGGGCGAGGCTGAGGCTGCTGAAGATGCTGGGGGTGAGGTTGATGAGGATGAAGTCCATAGAGATAAGGATGAAGTCCACAAAGATGAGGATGAGGAGGGCAAGGCTGAAGCCGCTGAGGATGCTGAGGACGAGGATGAAGAAGATGAGGTTCATAGGGACGAGGATGAGGAGGGTGAGGCTGAAGCTACTGAGCAGAGTGAGGACGAGGATGAGGGTCATAACGATGAGCAGGGCAAGGCTGAGGCTACTGAAGATGCTGAGGATGAGGTTGATGAAGTCCACAAAGATGAGGGTGAAGTCCACAAAGATGAGGATGAGGAGGGCAAGGCTGAAGCCACTGAGGATGCTGAGGACGAGGATGATGAGGACGAAGTCCACAAAGATGAGGATGAGGAGGGCGAGGCTAAGGCTGCTGAAGATGCTGAGGGTGAAGTTGAGGAGGATGAAGTCCATAGAGATGAGGATGAAGGGCTGCTGAAGATGCTGAGAGTGAAGTTGAGGAGGATGAGGTCCATAGAGATGAGGATGAAGTCCATAGTGATGAGGCTGAAGTCCATGACGATGAGGATGAGGAGGGCAAGGCTGAAGCTGCTGAGGATGAGGATGATGAAGATGAAGCCCCCCTCCGCTGCCCGCGACTCACCTGAGCGCCCCCTTCCCCTCCAGCCCGAAACTGGGGCAGAGTCTCCAAGCAGAAGACCACGATGGAGACGAGGATGACGAGGACGGAGAGCAAGGCCACGGCCCGGGCGGCTGGCGAACTCTCGGGGTGCTCGCACAACAACCACGCCCGCCGTCGCAACCTCCCGCCGGGCAGGGGTTGGACCACCTCCGCCCCGAAGCCTTCGGCCTCGCGGAGCCTTCCTTCTGCTTCGGCGCCCAACTGGTAGAAGCGCAACTCTTCCAAGAAGACATCTAAGGGCACGTTGGGTGGGCGCCGGAGTCTTCCTCCCGACTGGTAGTAGTAGAGGACGGCGCCGAAGGCTCCGCGGTGGCGGTCGAAGAAGTACTCGCGGCGTTGGGGGTCGAAGTAGCGCCGGCGCCGGCGGGGGTCGCCCAAGAGGGTGTCGGGGAACCGGAGGAGGGTCCTCCCCAGGGTCTCGAACC